TGCAAATCGCATGAAAAGTAGTGTATTCATTATTTTAGAAATTGTTGCGGCTCCAACCAAGTTTGAACCACACCAATATGAACGCTCTAATAGCGGTCACATTGAGTGTGACTTGGCATGTGATTTGCATGACATGCGCCTTGCAAATTCTATGCAAAGTCGCACCCTATTGTCTGCTATTAGTGCGTTTCCGACACTGATTTCTAAAGTAGTACATGTACTACTTTTGTGGCAATTTGCATAGATATCTGTGTCAGATGTCTTGCAAATCTCAAGGAAATCGGCATCTTCACTGTAAGTCACACGATTTCTAAATCGGCTTTGATGTGACTGTGGTGTAAGGCCTTTTTATGTTTGATTTCCTGAGTGTTTTTTTCCGATTCATGGGAAGTCCCGCATACTAGCAAAAGTGAATTGACATTTTCAGTATTACATGCAAGATGTGGTCATATGACTGCTTTAGCTCATGCGATAATCTGCAGTGAATTGTGCCCATTGGGCCAAGACATATTGCCATGGGGTTCAGTTGTGGGTGATTTTTTCCTTGTAAGAGGCCAGGTTATTTTCAGCAAGTCCTTGTCTGTGGTGGTTTGGGGAGGAAGAGATATTGTGGTGAATTTCCCCAGACCGCACTCACGCTGTGTTTTGATGTGGGCTATAAATGTTTTGCATTTTTTTCCTTCTAAGGTGTGTTTTTGTGTTATTGTACGATTGTGTGTTTATTATCTTTGCATTGTAATCCTAACACATCAATTGCTCCGGTCTTCCAAATCTGTAGTTTGCTTGCTTATTTAGACTGAAATGCAGTTTTCGGACAAACCTGATGAGAAATGTATGTGTGGGGGATTTGGGGAGGTGGAAGGTGTTTTATTTTGGCACGTATTTTTATATTGATATTTTGATCTGCAGCCTGTTTTGTAGATAGATAAGCCTACTACGTGATTCATATTAACCGTTTGTTTCCTGCTGTAACCTGTGAAAGCACATTTCATTTTAAGTATAATCTTTTAGATTGTAAGCTCTTATGAGCAGGACCGTTCTAATTTAGCAACATCAATCCTGCTTTTTGTTTTCTTTTTTCCCACCAAGAAATTGACTACCTATTTGTTGCTGCTGTCCAAATAAATGTGGAATATGTATTTGATCAATAAACGTTTGGACTATGTTTATTTTTGGGGGTGTTATTTCATAGTCAAGTTCAATATACTAGCACCCCTAACACTTATCGTTTGCGAGCTATATAATATGCCCAAATCTTTCTTGTTAGAGTGCACATATGCAAGTATGTCCAAACTAACAAACCAAAAGCCCCCTATTCCACCACAAGACCATGTTATGTACCAATGAATAGGTCGTGTTTAATGTGCAGCTAGCTATTCTTTTTCTGCAATCCTCTTAACAGTAATTAATTAGGCCATACAGTTGCTGTGTCCCCATAGTATAACAGGTGGCTCTAGCCACATGAAAAACCCACTCATTCATGCTGTACAGGCCAGAGGACCTGTGCGAATTTACTTTTTTTTCCCCGCAGCTCATTAATTGCAATGGGCTGCCTAATGTGTGGGAACATGCAAAAATACTGCAGGCATATTATTTTAAAAGTGTGTTGCACCTAACCGCACAGTAGTGTGGTGCCATGCGTTTTGGTGGCTGTGAATGCGTCTGTGTTTACTAAACGTGTGGAGGTGCAATTAAGTTTTCATCATGGTACTTGTGATCATCTGCAGAGGGCATTGTATTTCTTTTCTGTGCAGGAAAATGCGTGGTCTTGCATGCGTTTCTGCACCACAAATGGTGTGAACAAGTCCTAAGGGCCAGTTCACACTATAGAAACAGTCTAGATGTGTTGCAGATGTGTTTTTGCATGCACTTTTTTGATGCATGTTCCAGTGCATTTTGGATGCGTTTTTGATGTGTTCCAGTGCATTTTGGATGCGTTCTTGACGTGTTTCAGTGCATTTTGGATGCGTTTTTGACGTGTTCCAGTGCATTTTGGATGCGTTTTTGACATGTTCCAGTGCATTTGTTATGCATTCCAGTTAATTTTTTCCCCTCTCTTTTTCTTCAATTTAATTAGGGACATGTGCATTTTAGTGTGTTCCAGGACGTTTTACCACGTCCAAGTACAGTTCTATGCATAAACAATGCAGCCTGTTCACCTTATTTGGCAGCACCTGCAACGCACTGGAACTGCAAGCGCTGATGTGAACTATGACATTGACAACCATATAACCTTCTTTCTGTGCGTTTTGGATGCAAAAAAGAACTGAAACACATGTAGTGTGAACTGGCCCTAAAGATTATTATAGGTAAGAGAACGGGACTGACCAGGAATTGTGAATGCAATCAGACTAGTGGTGAGATACAGTCAGGAATCATATAATAATGCGAGATCTGAGCTGGAGGTGATAGGAAATGAGACACAATAACTTGATCAGTATCTAAATAGTTAAATAAAAAGAGTGGGGGGGCGGTGATACTTAGATTTGCAGATGGAACAGGTGAAGACAGGGGGGTGGGGGAGGGGTCAAGTTGTATAAAGAAGAGATTTAAGGGCTCGTTCACACTTGACTTTATTTCTAACTCTTGCCAAACGGCCCTATAGCATTTAACAGGCGTTTGGGAAGCGGTTTTAACGCTCCTCAAATGCTCCCCAAACGCCCTATGCACGATTCTGAGGTATTTGATAGGCATTTGCCAAGCATTAAAACTGCACCACAAATGCCTGTAATGAAGTTAAATGGTATTAACGCTCCGCAAACGCCTCGCATCCACGTCGCAACCACACCACAAACGCCTGCCAGGCATTTGAGGAGCGGCACCATAGACTTGAATGGGAGGCTTCAACTCCTCCTGACTCGGCATGAGGCGCCAGTTTTGCTGCAACGCAACACTAATGCTTCAGTGTGAACAGCACTGTGTGCTGCCATGTGCAGAATTTTCATAGGCATTTGAGAAGCGTTGAAAATGGTTCCCAAATGCCTGTCTGATGCCTGCTGACAAAGCTAGTGTGAACATAGCCTAAGAGAAGATAAACAAAGTTGTAATGAAATATAAACAGAAGGAAAATTGAAAGTTTCAAACTTGTCAGAAGAACAGGACACAGGTAAGATGCGAATCTTACCTGTGTCCTGTTCTTCTGACAAGTTTGAAACTTGTCATCCCATCGATTGATCAATATTCCTGAAACTGACCGAACCCTGGAAATTGATCTCCATATTTTGGGCATTCACAAATGTCAAGGACTTTACAATCTAAGGCCAGAAACTCAGACATATACTAGGCCCAATTAACCTAACAGCATGTCTTTGGAGTGTTGGCAGAAACACACCTGTGCAGAGAAAGCATGCAAACTGGGATACAGCCATAACTGGGATTAGAACCCGTGGCCCAAGTGCTGTAAGTTCTGAGTACTAACCATTAAGCCACTGTAGGAGACAGAGTTTGAGCTGCAAAGTAAAATAGTTACATGATTAAAGAGAAGGAAGATATATAATTATATTGGGAAATTAGAACTAGACATTCAAATTATTTGAGATAAAAGTGTGAAAATGTTTGATATTTGAAAATAGAATATATGACATTCATTAGAAAATGCATTAGTTGGCCGATCATTTTTGAAGAAACAGCAAAAAAAAAAAAAAAATTTTAATATAGGTGTGCTTTTTATTTTAAATTATAAATATTCTCATATGCAAACAGAAGAACACCAATGGGACAAAGCCCGCGGTTGTGCGCCACCTAGCGAACATATCTGGTATTGCATCTAGAAATGTGCCTGACGTGATTCCGGATTTATTAACAGGAAAGAGTCTACAAAGTAGACTCTTTTCAATGAGCTTGCTAGACGCCTTTCTGATGACTGACAGGTTGATTGAATTGAGTCTGTCTGAATGTTCAGCGTCTGCTGGTAGACTCAATTCTTAGTAAATCAGGTTTATTAACACTAACAATACATAAACGCAGTGCAATACTAAAACATACACAGTGCAAACGAACCAAACCAAACCACCCACAGATAACAAAACATACAATGCAAGCGTCGTCAGGCAGGCCGGGATCATCAACAGGAGGTCAGAATGTATGGGGTTAAGCAGGAGAATGGTCAGACAAAGCCAGGGATCAGAGCAGGAGAATGGTCAGACAAAGCCAGGGATCAGAGCAGGGTCAGCAACGAATCAGACAGGAACAGGGATGCAGGAACAGGATACAGGGCCAGGAGAAACACACACACCAAGGCCAAGACTGAAGGTCTGGCCATCACTTAAATACACCTGCCTAAGCAGTTTCAGGTGTTTGGCTGGCTGCAGGGTTGAGTCTCTGATTGCTGGGAGCACCCGCAGGCCAGCCCTGGTACTGCAGCCCACAAGGCAGGTGAGTCCCACCACTACTGGCAAGTCCATCCTTCCTAACAGTACCCCCCCCTCAAGGAGTGGCCTCAGGACGCTCCAAACAGTCCTACTGGGCAAAATGTTCCACCGCCCGGGTCTGGTAACTGGCGGGATATCAAAGACTGGCACACCGGCAGGACTCCGGGCAGCGGCACATCGGGCAGGACTCCGGGCAGCGGCACATCGAGCAGGACTCCGGGCAGCGGCACATCGGGCAGGACTCCGGGCAGCGGCACATCGGGCAGGACTCCGGGCAGCGGCACATCGGGCAGGACTCCGGGCAGCGGCACATCGGGCAGGACTCGGGCAGCGGCACATCGGGCAGGACTCCGGGCAGCGGCACATCGGGCAGGACTCCGGGCAGCGGCACATCGGGCTGGACTCCGGGCAGCGGCACATCGGGCTGGACTCCGGGCAGCGGCACATCGGGCTGGACTCCGGGCAGAGGCACATCGGGCTGGACTCCGGGCAGCGGCACATCGGGCAGGACTCCGGGCAGCGGCACATCGGGCAGGACTCCGGGCAGCGGCACATCGGGCAGCGGCACATCGGCAGGACTCCGGGCAGCGGCACATCGGGCTGGACTCCGGGCAGCGGCACATCGGGCTGGACTCCGGGCAGAGGCACATCGGGCTGGACTCCGGGCAGAGGCACATCGGGCTGGACTCCGGGCAGAGGCACATCGGGCTGGACTCCGGGCAGAGGCACATCGGGCTGGACTCCGGGCAGAGGCACATCGGATCACCAGGCGAAGCAGCAGGCACCGGGCCACCAGGCGAAGCAGCAGGCACCGGGCCACCATGCGGAGCGGCGGGCACCGGGCCACCAGGCGGAGCGGCGGGCACTGGGCCACCAGGCGGAGCGGTGGGCACCGGGCCCCCAGGCGGGGCGACGGGCACCGGGCCCCCAGGCGGAGCGGCGGGCGCCGTACCCCCAGGCGGAGCGACAGGTCTCGGGCCCCCAGGCGGAGCGGCGGGCGCCGGACCCCCAGGCGGAGCGACAGGTCTTGGGCCCCCCAGGCGGAGCGGCGGGCGCCGGACCCCCAGGCGGAGCGACAGGCACCGAGTCACCAGGCACGACAGTGGGCTCCGAGTCAACTAGCATGACCGCGGGCACTGGGTCAGACATTGGATCGTCTGGCTGGACAGCGGGCATCGGGTCACCAGGCATCAGGTCATTTGGCTCGACAGCGGGCACCGCGTCATCTGGCAAGGCAGTGGGCACCAAGTCATCAGGCACGACAGTGGGCTCTGAGTCAATTGGCACGACAGCGGGCACCGGGTCATCAGGCGCTGGATCGTCTGGCACGACAGTGGGCATCGGATCACCAGGCATGACCGCGGGCACTGGGTCATCAGGCATTGGATTGTCTGGCTCGACAGCGGGCATCGGGTCACTAGGTATGACAGCGGGCACTGGGTCACCAGGCATCAGGTCATTTGGCTCGCCAGCGGGCACCGCGTCACCTGGCAAGGCAGTGGGCACCGAGTCACCAGGAACGACAGCGGGCTCTGAGTCAATTGGCACGACAACGGGCACCGGGTCATCAGGTACCGGATCGTCTGGCTCGACAGCGGGCATCGAGTCAACTGGCCTAATAGGATCATCAGGCTGGATCAGTTCATCAGGCTGGGTAGAAACATCATGCTGGGTAGAGGCATCAGGCTGAATGGAGGCATCAGGCTGAATAGAGGCATCAGGCTGAATAGAGGCATCAGGCCGAATGAATAGAGAGGCATCGGCCGAATAGAGGCATCGGGCCGGGTAGAGGCATCGGGCCCGGGTAGAGCATCGGGCCGAATAGAGGCATCGGGCCAGGCGGGTAGAGGCATCAGGCTGGGAGTACAGACATCAGTCTGGCTGGGTACAGACATCAGGCTGGGTACAGACATTAGGTTTAGTTGAAGTGTGGGTGCCGAGGCACCAGGCTGAAACCACGGAAGGCCGGTTCTCAGACGGCAGGCTGACCGGTTTGGATACGGCAGGATGGTACTGGTTGGAAAGAATTTTCGCTTTTTTCTGGTTTTAACTACTGGAGCACTGCAAGTAAACGCAGGTCTGCAAACGAATGGAGCAGCTGGAGACAGAGAAGAGCTGGAGGATGGAACAGGGAGTGAACAGTTGCTACAGAGGACTTCTTTACAGGGTTAAAGGCAGGATAGGGTGCAGCGAGTGGGAACAGGGTACTGACATGCGGTAGATAGCAGGGCAGGAGGAGCTGTTGGGAATGCAGGAATAGAGCTTTGAGGAAATAGATTAGAAGCAGGACTGGGTTTTTGCAAGCTGACTGAGGCTGGGTGCAACAAATCTGTCCATGTCTGCAGTATGGGTTGAACGAAGCTGAGCTTACACAAAGCCTGTCTGGTCAATGACTGCACTGCGTTTATACAATCTCTTAGTATCTGTGGTGAACATGCAGAATAATGCTCCAGAAAGTAATCCACATCATCCTCTAATACCATACCAGGGACTCTCTACCTGGTCGGCACTAAATGGTGGCAAAAATTCATCCCTGCATTCGGGGGTACCAGATGAAACCAACTCCACACAAACCTGAATCAATGGCTGCACCTCAGAGAATTCTGTGCCCTGATCTACTAGAACATGAGCGAGCCATATACATTCTAGCATTCATCCCTGGATACTCCTTCAGAGTCTGATAAGCATATTCTCTGTCATCAAACACTAGCAGATATAAATACACAACCTCATCAAGATCCATCCTTCCCATCAACAAACCAAGATGGCTTCCCTGTGCAGCCACTTCTGGTCAGGATTGGCCTTGGTGTAATGTCAGGCTCCCGGGTATGACCAGAGGTATGTGAACCGACACAGGGAAACGCAGACTCCAGATATGATATAAACAATATAATTTATTAACACTAACAATACATAACCGCAGTGCAATACTAAAACATACACAGTGCAAACGAACCAAACCACCCACAGATAACAAAACATACAATGCAAGCGTCGTCAGGCAGGCCGGGATCATCAACAGGAGGTCAGAACGTATAGGGGTTAAGCAGGAGAATGGTCAGACAAAGCCAGGGATCAGAGCAGGAGAATGGTCAGACAAAGCCAGGGATCAGAGCAGGAGAATGGTCAGACAAAGCAGGATCAGAGCAGGGCCAGCAACGAATCAGACAGGAACAGGGATGCAGGAACAGGATAACAGGGCCCAGGAGAAACACACACACCAAGGCCAAGACTGAAGGTCTGGCCATCATTTAAATACACCTGCCTAAGCAGTTTCAGGTGTTTGGCTGGCTGCAGGGTTGAGTCTCTGATTGCTGGGAGCACCCGCAGGCCAGCCCTGGTACTGCAGCCCACAAGGCAGGTGAGTCCCACCACTACTGGCAAGTCCATTCCTAACAGTGTGTATTGCTAGAAAGGTTTTTTTTTTCCTGGGAGAGTGCATGTGATCAGCACAGGGCCAATCAGCACTGTCCAGACAGAGATCAGGAGTTCTGCATCCTCTACAGCAGAATGAAAACTCCTCCTACAAGCTTTAAGATGTACTCTGCTGGACACTGATAGAAGTTCAAGACTGCTCTAACTGCTGATAGGAAAAGGTATTTAGCAGTTTATATTTACTAAAATAATTGTATTTAGCAGTTTACATTTACTAAAATAATTGCATTTCCATTTTCTGTGTACTGTGGGCAACCAGATACAGCGGGGATCGAAAGTTTGGGCACCCCAGCTAAAAATTTGTATTAATGTGCATAAAGAAGCCAAGGAAAGATGGAAAAATCTCCAAAAGGCATCAAATTACAGATTAGACATTCTTATAATATGGCAACAAAAGTTAGATTTTATTTCCATCATTTACACTTTCAAAATAACAGAAAACTAAAAAATGGCGTCTGCAAAAGTTTGGGCACCCTGCAGAGTTAATATCTTGTACTGCCCCCTTTGGCAAGTATCACAGCTTGTAAACGCTTTTTGTAGCCCAGCCAAGAGTCTTTCAATTCTTGTTTGAGGTATCTTTGCCCATTCTTCCTTACAAAAGTCTTCCAGTTCTTTGAGATTTCTGGGCTGTCTGTCACGCACTGCTCTTTTAAGGTCTATCCATAGATTTTCAATTATGTTGAGGTCAGGAGATTGTGAAGGCCATGGCAAAACCTTCAGTTTTACGCCTCTTGATGTAATACCCCCAAGTGGATTTCGAGGTGTGTTTAGGCTCATTATCCATTTGTAGAAGCCATCCTCTCTTTAACTTCAGATTTTTCACAGATGGCATCAAGTTACCATCCAAAATTTGCTGAAATTTTATTGAATCCATTTTTCCTTCTACTCGTGAGATGTTCCCTGTGCCACTGGCTGCAACACAACCCCAAAGCATGATTGATCCAACCCCATGCTTAACAGTTGGACTTCAAACGATGATTTTTGTGGTGTGGACATAGAAGAGGTTTTCTTCTGATGACTCTTCTATGAAGACCATATTTGTACAAGTATCTCTTTATAGTGGAATAGTGTACCACAACTCCAGTGTCTGCCAGATCTTTGTGGAGGATCGTGCAGTCAAACGTGGGTTTTGAATTGTTTTTCTCACAATCCTGCGAGCTGTTCTGTCTGATATTTTTCTTGGTCTTCCAGATCTTGCTTTAACTTCCACTGTTCCTGATGACTGCCATTTCTTAATTACATTCCGAACAGAGGATATTGACATCTGAAAATGCTTTGCTATCTTCTTATAGCCTTCTCCAGCTTTGTGAGCGTCAACTATTTTCAGTTTCAGTTTTCTAGACAACTGCTTAGAAGAACCCATGGTGCTGATTGTTGGGGCAAGGTCAGATGAGTCTGGGCATTTAAAACCTTTGAGATTGACATCACCTGGTCTTCCCAGATGATGATTGAGAACAATCCATGACACTGGCAGGTCTCAGCTTGGCAAAGGGGGCAGTGCATGCTATAAATTCTGCAGGGTGCCCAAACTTTTGCAGACGCCATTTTTTTGTTTTCTGTTATTTTGAAAGTGTAAATGATGGAAATAAAATCTAACTTTTGTTGACATATTATAAGAATGTCTAATCTGTAATTTGATGCCTTTTGGAGATTTTTCCATCTTTCCTTGGCTTCTTTATGCACATTAATACAAATTTTTAGCTGGGGTGCCCAAACTTTCGATCCCCACTGTATAGTGAATGCAGGGTCTTGGGTTCAGTAACACTTTAACTTCATCGATTCAAAACACTAACTTTCTTTAGCTTTATAATAGGTTTCAAAACAGCCCCTTGGTACCTTAATTGCAGGCTAGACACAAAAGATTTAATGAGGTACAATTCCAGATTAACAAAATACTAGGTCTGCACAAATAAATTACTCAAATATTTATAACCAAATATTATATATATATATATACAGTATCTCACAGAAGTGAGTACACCCCTCACATTTTTGTAAATATTTTATTATACCTTTTCATGTGACAACACTGAAGAAATGACACTTTGCTACAATGCAAAGTAGTGAGTGTACAGCTTGTATAACAGTGTAAATTTGCTGTCCCCTCAAAATAACTCAACACAGCCATTAATGTCTAAACCTCTGGCAACAAAAGGTGAGTACACCCCTAAGTGAAAATGTCCAAATTGGGCCCAATTAGCCATTTTCCCTCCCTGGTGTCATGTGACTGGTTAGTATTACAAGGTTTCAGGTGTGAATGGGGAGGTGGTGTGTTTTTGGTGTTATCGATCTCACTCTTGTTGCTCTACATAAAGATGGCCTAGGCTATAAGAAGATTGCCAAGACCCTGAAACTGAGCTGCAGCACGGTGGCCAAGACCATACAGTGATTTAACAGGACAGGTTCCACTCAGAACAGGCCTTGCCATGGTCGACCAAAGAAGTTGAGTGCACGTGCTCACCATCATATCCAGAGGTTGTCTTTGGGAAATAGACGCATCAGTGCTGCCAGCATTGCTGCAGAGGTTGAAGGGGTGGGGGGGGGTCAGCCTATCAGTGCTCAGACCATATGCCGCTTACTGCATCAAATTGTTCTGCATTGCTGTCATCCCAGAAGGCAGGCTCTTCTAAAGATCATGCACAAGAAAGCCTGCAAACAGTTTGTTGAAGACAAGCAGACTAAGGACATGGATTACTGGAACCATGGCCTGTGGTCTGATGAGACCAAGATAAACTGACTTGGTTCAGATGGTGTCAAGCATGTTTGGCGGCAACCAGGTGAGGAGTACAAAGACAAGTGTGTCTTGCCTACAGTCAAGCATGGTGGTGGGAGTGACATGGTCTGGGGTTGCAGGAGTGCTGCCGGCACTGGGGAGCTACAGTTCATTGAGGAAACCATGAATGCCAACATGTACTGTGACATACTGAAGCAGAGCATGATCCCCTCCTTTCGGAGACTGGGCCGCAGGGCAGTATTCCAACATAACGACCCCAAACACACCTCCAAGACGACCACTGCCTTGCTAAAGAAGCTGAGGGTAAAGGTGATGGACTGGCCAAGCATGTCTCCAGACCCAAACCCTATTGAGCATCAGTGGGGCATCCTCAAATGGAAGGTGGAGGAGTGCAAGGTTTCTAACATCCACCAGCTCTGTGATGTCGTCATGGAGGAGTGGAAGAGGAGTCCAGTGGCAACCTGTGAAGCTCTGGTGAACTCCATGCCCAAGAGGGTTAAGGCAGTGCTGGAAAATAATGGTGGCCACACAAAATATTAACACTTTGGGGCAAATTTGGACACCAAGGAGGGAAAATGGCTAATTGGGCCCAATTTGGACATTGTCACTTAGGGTTGTACTCACTTTTGTTGTCAGCAGTTTAGACATTAATGGCTGGGTGTTGAGTTATTTTGAGGGGACAGCAAATTTACACTGTTATACAAGCTGTACACTCACTACTTTACATTGTAGCAAAGTGTCATTTCTTCAGTGTTGTCACATGAAAAGATATAATAAAATATTTACAAAAATGTGAGGGGTGTACTCACTTCTGTGAGATACTGTGTGTGTGTATATATATATAAAATAACCAAATTGTATTAATTTTGTTAAACGCTTAAATTCTCTCTTCTATTTAACAGAGTATAAAACCACAAGGGACTAAATATACTGGGGGAAAAAGGCATAAGATCCTCAGAGATTTACAACAACGATCTATTGGATTAGCATTTTTACTAGAAACACATTTATTGCAGGAAACGTACAATTATATGATCTGGACAGTATCCAACCTGGTATTATGCTGATTCACATACCAAGCGGGCTAAAGGAGTGGCAATTGGTATAGCTAAGAATTTAAAATTTAAGTTGGAGGAGAGACTGGAGGACCCTGAGGGGAGGTTTTTGTTTCTGAAGGGGAGATTACACGAGAGTGAGTGTACATTGGCAAATATTTATTGCCCTAACAGAAATCCAGAGGCCTACCTTAAGAATATATTGGGAAGACTTCTGGATTTCAAAATGGGCAAATTGATTGTGGTGGGGGATTTTAACTTGTGCATGGATCCTCAGTTTGGCACAACGTCACATGTGTGGAGAGAGGAAAGTAGAAGTCGGAAAGCAATATGAAGAACGCTATAACAGTGTCAACTAGTAGATATCTGGAGGATTAAACATCCTTGAGACAGAGACTATACGTTCTAAGCTCCGGCCCATGTGATGTACTCAAGATTAGATTGAATTTTTTTGGAACACAGACTATTGGAGTCATTGGTCAAGGTCAACATAGAAGTTACAATATTGGATCATGCACCAGTTACAACAGCATTATTATGGGGTAGGGAGCAGGATAAGATAAATATGTGGAAGTTAAATGAGACACTCCTCCAGGATCAGGACATGCAAGAGAGAATAAAAAAAGAAATAGAGCAGTACTTTGAAAGAAATTAGACTGAAGGAATGTCAGTGGCCACGATCTGGGAAGCCCATAAGGCATATATCAGGGCAATATTGATAGCAATTGGGTTTAAAAAAAAAAAAAAGGGAACAGCAAAAGAAAATTAACATGCTTTTAAGGGAATTATATGAGTTGGAACAGTCTCATAAAAAGAGAATAGCAGTAGGCATACAGCAGCAAGCAATAAAAAAGAGAGGAACTAAATAATTTAATGGAGGAAGAAATGAGAAAAACCTTAAATAGGGTGGCAAGAGAGAGATATCAGTGGGGGAATAAACCGGGTAAATACCTAGTGGGAGTACAAAGAAAGAAAAAATCTAGGAATTATATTGAGAAAATTAAGGACAAGGGAGATCTGGAAAATTCAACCACTGATATCGCTAAGATATTCAAAGAATACTTTAGTAAATTATATGACATAAAATGGAAACAGTTAAAAGGGGGAAAAGAATAGGGAACAAGACAGAGGCAAAGATACTTAAAGAAGGTGAATTTACCGACTTTAGGAGAAGACCGACTAAAACATTTAGAAAATCTGATAACGTAGGAGGAAATGCAAAGAGCATTGAAGGAGACAGATGCTGGGAAAAGCACAGGGTCAGATGGGTATACAGTGAGATATTACAAAAAAGTTCAAGAAATATTAGTCCCCAAACTGAGGGTATATATGAATGCATTAGGAGAAGGGATGGAGATGAGGTTAGGAGTCATTGCAAGCATATAGTACACTCATATTAAAGGAGGGGAAAGATGGGACCCAATGTGCTAGTTATCGGCCTATTTCACTGGTAAATACAGATACTAAACTGTTTGCATAGGTACTAGCAACTAGGTTGAAAGATCTAA